GTTCTCTGTGACACTATTGTTTTACTAGCAGTTAACAGATACTGTAACAGAGGGGCAGAGAGTAACTTGAGAACTATTGCTTATTTAGGTACGCCTGCATCATCATATGAATATGTATGCATATACATTTTTTTTCCCTTCCCCTTCTTGTAGAACTGTATAAATATCAGAGCATCCATTTTGCCTGTAGGGGAGTGTCTCCCAATAACCTTTGGTGGAGTCCCCCTCCAGTACGTACTGCTCAATAAACACTGCAGTGAAGCCTTGATTATTCTGCAGTTGTGTCCTGCGTTTTGATCCCACACTCCCTCCTACCTCCAGCCTGATCTCCCCATTCCCTCTGGTATGAGTTTTCATCACGCTATTGAATTTCCTGCATTAAAAGCTGCAAAGCACATTTGGAAGATGTTGGGGTGGTTGTATAATTGTTGACCCTTATTTACATGAGAAGCTGATGTGCTGGGACAATCCTAGTTTGAAAATAGCAAATAACTCTTTTTCTGTTTGAAATTACAGGCAAATAGGAATATTAATACTCTGGATCCTTTTATTGTCAATTAGGTTTTTAAATCATGAGTAATTGCAAAAGTAATTTAGATTGCCTGAAGTTGCAAAATAGAAGTATATTCAATTAAAGCATCTCTTCATTTGAGAGTCTGATCCAGGTGCATTAGCAGCTTCTAAAACACCTGAATTAATATGGAATTTTGAAACACATTTTAGATTATTGTAAGCCTACAGTATTATATTTACAAATAATAACTAAGTATCACTAACATAAATATTAGCAAAACCCTTGAATATAAGATTAAAATATCCCATATTAACAAATCAACGACTAAGAATATTAGTACTGTGTGTTTCTTATTATCTCACGTGGAAACAAATTCAACAAAACATTTTCATTTATTGGACTCCCCAGAGAATGTTTAAAAAGGGGCTGGCTATCAACCTGGGTAAGTGTAAAATGAGTGAGGGAACACTTATTCATACGATATTGCCCCATTTTGGTTTGATGATCCATACACTGATAATGTGGTGTTACAAAGATCAATACAGTTTATGGAGGTGAATGTCCATCTGAATTATATATCCCAAACTTGGAATACAACATTATTTGAAGAATTGTGGGTTGATTGAGCATGGGGGGCAACAATGGTGTACATACTTTACGTTATCTGCAGGAGGTCAAGTAAAAAAACATGTCGCAATATCCTGATGCAAACACCGCAACTTCGATATCTGTGTCAGGTGTTGGGACACAAGTATGTAGAGTGGGATTTGTGTTATGACATCAGCGTCGGCATGGGTCACCATTTTGATATAATGTTAGGTTGCTGGAGATGCCTATGCAGTTCAGTGTTGGAAAGACAGATTTATAATCCTGGATCTCCAACATGTGTTTGCTTTATGTTTATGAGCTGGCTCTATCAACATCATAGAAAGAGTGATCAATATTACTTCGTGCGGTCACACTTTAAAACTATGTTCAAAAATAGGCTGATTTCTTTCTTTCTTTTCATTCATGCATTCAGAAATGAAGGAATACACTATCATGGACGGGAGATAATGATAGAACAGAAAAACTTTGTCACAGATATTTAGGAGTTTTATCTTTACAAATGTCAATACAAATAACTTGGCTTAAAATGTAGCTCAGAAGTTACCAAGTTTTGCACTTCTTAAACAAGCAAATATATTAATGTTTTTAAATGTAAATTTCCAGACCATTAAAACAAAAAAAATTACATTCCTGTTTTCACAACTCACCGATGAACACAATCTATACTTTGGCCTTCATAGGGGAGAGATCAAAACAGTCACCAGTAGAACTAGATCTCTAATCTTACAAGAACAGAAGATATTCAGGCTATAAAATTTATTTTGGGAACTTGGAATATATACATTTTACCTGAGATCTGAGTTAATCATGCTTACAGTAGGCCCAGTGAAATCAATAAAACATCTGAATAAAACATAAAACATCTAAATTTCAAATTTAAATTTTACATTTTAAATAAAATATCTGAATTTCAGTGA